TGTCTACATTGCTGATGTGGCGCAGGCCATCTGTCTTCGTTGATGTGGCGCATGCCACCTGTCTACATTGCTGATATGGCGCAGGCCATCTGTCTACATTGCTGATGTGGCGTATGCCACCTGTCTCTGCTGCTGATGTGGCACTGGCCACGCTGTCTACATGGGGTGACTGGTGACAAGGAGGGAGATCGGGATCTGTGGATGATTGGGAATCGGTACTCACCTGAGGTTGACGTCGATACGGTGCACTGCTGTTGTCTTCATTGTCTCCATGAGATGATAGTGCCATGTGGCACTTCTATTTGATCAGGACTTGTCAGACTAGCTACTGGATATTGATTGATGACGTGGAGGTGGGAAGAAGTCCGGAGGAGTGGGTAATGTCTGGGCTACTCTTTTGTGGTCACTGATCATCTCTTCCACGGTCTCATCTTTCTATTCTCCCTCCACTCTCTTCGTCTATTGGTAACGAGATATTGCATCAGATATCACTTTCATGATTACTGGAGACATTGTGCAGATCTGAGTCTACTTGTACTTCGACGTCTGACGAGTATCTTCCAGTCTGGGTTCATTACAATTTTCTCTAAGCACTACAATCTTCGAAGTCCAGCATTTTGCAAATTGATGGTGAAAAGTGGGGAAATTTTGGAAAATTTCAGTGTGAGGATTTCCTGTCCTCTTTCCATTTGGGCCTGGGCGCAGACACTGCTGGTTTGAGCGCCGAAAGGCCACTGGCAGGGAGACCTGCGTGCACGCGGGGGCAGGTGAGAAGGAGGGTGCTGCAGGTAGCAGTGCTGAGCCAAGCCAGCCATAACCGGGCTTGGGATTGTGGAGGTCAGCGGTGTATGGTGGTGTCTTCGGGTGAAGGACGTATTATGGGGAGAACATGAGGGTGAGCACAGAGAGAGAGAGGGAGAGAGAGAGAGAGAGGGCATGTAGCTGGTTCGTCGTGGAGGTCTGCATGGTGACATCTGCATGTATGTTGGTTTCTGCGGCTGTCATCTTTCTGTTGTAGGGTAGTATAGGAGCTGTGTAATTGTAGTCTTGGCGCTTCCTGTTGTAGGGTAGTATAGGAGCTGCGTAATTGTAGTCTTGGCGCTGAGCGCCATGTAGGAGAAAAGTCTTGAGCACATTGTTGACAGAGGCGAGATAAGGGCTGACGTTGACAACTGAGCTCATTGCTTTTGTCTCCTTCAGAGTGATATTGGTGCATTTGTGCTTTCTGGACAGCTTGCGACTATCTGGCTTTCAATGTGATGTTGCAATTTGAAATTCTGTTGTAATAATTCAGCTCAAATCTGCATTGCTGCGGGCAAAGTCTCGTCAATTTTGGTCAAAGACCCGAAAGAGGGGTCAAAAGTCACGACCCAGGCCTGAGAAATGCCTAAGAGAGTGTCTAGGGTTATGGGGTACCAAGACCGGAGTCAAAAACTGTGCCCCGTACCCCAATCTGAGGCAGTAGACTCTTGGAAATTCAAGAGTCAACCCCAGCACGGAATTCCAGGCCCAATAGTCAAAGGCAACCCGCTGGTCAGCCACGACCGTCGATCAGATACACATCAATGGTTGTCTGCAGGTATCCGGAAAACTCCAGTCCAGGTGGGACGCATGGGAGACTGGGAACTGCACTGCATCTAGACCATGGGTCCTCAATTAATCCAGGCCGTCGACCCGAGGAGACTGGGGGCTGGTGAACGCGAGTCAACACTATATAGAGTTGACCCAGCCACTGTGTTGGAGATTCTGCATTGTGCTGGCTTGTTGCTGGTGCGACGGCGCAAGACTGCTGGAGCTTTATGCTGGTGCCCAATTCTGAGTGTGGGCGCCAGCCTTGAGGGAGCTTATGCTGACGTGGCCTAGCCACACAGATTTCAACATTGTTAGGAGTGTGGGCACTGAGGAGGATCTGGACTGTGAGATTGGTGTTTGTGTGATGAGGGGAAGCTTACCTCTATTATTCAAGATGTCGTGTGTGATATGCTGCTCGTCTCCAAGTGGATCGAGAAGATTTGCTTATCCTCCCTAATTGCCGCGGACGTGGATGGAGGATGAGCGCCCTGCTGTGCTCTGGTCATTGTGTATGTTAGAGATCGTCAGAGGAGTACTGTATTGCTGAGGTGGCGGATGCCTGTGGAGGAAGTGGGCTTGAGGAGGGGCTTTTGCTTCATTGATTCGTGTGGGAACTCTCCTCCTCTCTTTCTCTTCTCCCTCTTTTCTCTCTCTCTCTTCTCTGAGGTTCGAGATATTGGGAGATTCCATGTACTTCGGGTATGGATACGTAAAAGATTTTCGGAGACATTATTGCTGCGCAGACTTGTATGACGACATTCATGAGCTTCTCACCGGATTGGGTTTCATTGCACTGTCATTTCATTCTTGCTCATTTCCTTGCAAATGAGTGTAATGACCAAATAGTAAGTAATGTGAGGCTCAAGGCCTCGACGAGCCCTACTGGGCCCTGTTTACAGCAATACCGGCCGCCCTAAGTGAAGGCAGCCCACAAAGGACGAGAGGCCTATTTTGGGCTGACCATGCAACTGGGAAAATTCAGGCAGTTGCGCAGTGCCAGTTGGTTGAAAGAACCCAGGCGCTGCCTGCCTTTCTCAAATGTATCTGAGGCAGGCCCTGGGCTAGACACGGGGCATGGAGTGCGCACAGGCCACCGACAGTTGGACATGGGTAACCACCCCAGGCCCTGTGTCTGATTCCCCTGGACCGGGGCTCAGCCACTTGGGGCCTACCGGAAGATTCTGGGCGAGGGACCAAGCACAGCCAGGCAGCACGCAGCAGGCAGGCCGTTTCCATATAGGAAACTGCCTGCCCCCATTCGGCATTCGGGCACTTGCTACATGCTGCGCTATCAACTGGCAAGCGCCCACGCGTTCACGAGTGAGCAAGATACACGCAGGCAGCCATAGCCGCGCTGACCTGCGAGCTGCTGGATGGGCCGCATGGTGGTCCTTGGGTGCACGTGGCATCTGTGTGGGGGATCGAGGTTGTGAGTGATGCGAGAGACATACCTGGTGCTTGAGGCGAGAACGGCATTGGCCGAGATCTGCTCGTACTGCGGGGAGCTGTTGACATCACCAGCGGCGTTATAGATAGGCTAGATAGGAGCTGCCATTTGTAGTTTGGGCACAGAGCGCCAGATAGGGAATCAACATTGATTCTTTGTTGATGATGATGAGACTGTTCCAACATTGTCACTTGTGAGCTTTTGCTGTGCCCTTATTTGGTGGAACTCGAGTTGCAATTCTGCTTTTGGTTCGAGGTCACGACTATCTGGTTTCATGTGTATGATGCTGCTTGGTTTCTGGAATTCGCTATCGCTCATTTTCCTTGCAGTAAAAGAATAATAATAAAAAAAAAGATACTTTCAATTTCAACTTTTCAAGACTTTTAAGTTAAACCACCGCTACCTTTCAGGCCATGACGCTGACTCTCAAAAGTAGCCTACTCCGCATTCTTCGGAGGCTAGCGGAAGCTGGGCGCTCTGCCGGACCACAAAGGATGGCGACGCCAGCCAAAAGAAAACGAAAATGCTGCACTGGTGCTCTCGGCGGCACATTGGCGCGCAGTGAAATTCAGGATCAGCAAAAGGGGGATCGGAGGGTCAGTCTGGTTGCTTTTCACCGGCAAGCAAAGTTTTTGAAACAAGCAGCAGGGGAGATTCGACAGAGAAGAGAGTCATTATGGCTCGAGCCGCCTGTTCAAGGGGGGGGTTGCTTGCTTCAGCGCCGCCCGCTCCCATCCTTTGGCCTTTCCTTGGGGATTGTCCTGCAAGTTGGGAGGCTTGCTAACAGCACCTAGGCATGCTGCAGGATTATCCCCAAGGGTTCAAGGCACGAGGGGGAGGGGTGTCCTGCCAGCCCCTTTGGGCGCATGTTACTTACTCACCCCATTCGCTCTACCTCCTATCCCCACATCATCTGCATCCCTGAATCCTTCTGTCTTTACTGTCCCACACCTCCTGCCATCCGTTTTTCCTAACTGTCCTACTCCTAGTCCTTGGTCCTATCTGCCTATGCTCAAGTTTTTTGTGCTATCCAGTGTATCCACACCGACAGTGGCCAACACCACCTTGAATCGCTTAGTAAACATGTCCACCTACTTGCTATGTGCAGTCCCCAGCGTTTTCTTAACCAAGCATTTCCTTGACCCTATTTTGCCCTCTTACCACCCTCTATTTGTAGTTCCCTCCTGTCAACAAGAACCCAGCCCATCACACCTAACTATAGTACACATCGCTCAAGGTCGGTCGTCATCGTCCTGGGGTCTTGGCACTCGGCGCATTAAGATCGGACCAAACCGCATTCGGCCTGTCTGGGGTTCTCGATTAAGCAGCTGCGGGTACGGGCTCCATCTTTCCCAGAACGCAAGTTCCCCTTGTTCCTCCGTACGGCTGCTCCTCCAGAGGTCGGCCATGAGGGTGATCCTAATTTTTTCCAGCGCCCTCTCTTGATACACTTGGAGCGGTGGGGCTGTTCCCTGTCTGCGTCGTTCATTCCGCAGAGAACACATTTTTTATTATTACTTGTCCCTTGGTTGTTACCTGGCGTCCACTTTCATCGCTCTGAATTGGAAGTTTCCTTGTGAGTTGACGACGGGTGTCACTCTCAGATATGTTTTAGAAAATCTGCTTGCATAATCAATAATGAAACTCAAAGCCGCGAGTTTCGTAGGCCGGCAACGCAACGAAGGCCGCCGCTGAAATGTATCAACAGCGGCCCAATGGCAGCCTGGTCCCCGAAGAATGCGGTAGAGGTTATATTCCCACTTGGGACTCCAGCCTTAAAAGTAGTAGTGGCGGTTCAATGGGAAAAAAAAAAAAAAAAAAAAAAAAAGGCTTGTATGCAGAAGACTTCAATGGAAAAATGCAGAAGACTGTGTGAACTTAAGTGTTCTGGGATCATTAGCTTGGCTTTTCTTTTGTTCTGAAATTGAGTGAGTCGTTTGTTCTGAAATTGAGTGAGTCGTCAGTGAACATGTTTTTGCAGGACGTACCCGTGGTGATGGACAATATTCCAGCCGTGCCGCTTGGTTTGCTGGCACGATTGGCGCTGCCTCTCATTACGCGTCCGCCTTATACGCTCGGATGGATTCGACAGAACGTGTCAGCGCGAAACGCCATGGACCCGGAAACAGTGCGACAGCTCCTCATGTACAACTTTTGTAAGTAGTACGTTGCCCTTGTGCCGTGTCGGACTTTTCTTTCTCTTCTGTGTGCTCAGAGTGACAGCAAGGAATGATTTATGGATTGCGAATCTTGATGACATGCCTTTGGTGGCAGCAAACCCAGACCTGGGGCGAGGTCCCACTTACCTGGATTCTTCAGTTCCGGTCATTCACTGGGGACCTTACCCCTGCTGATCCACGTTAGTGTCCTCCCTCAAACACAATGCACCCTCAATATTAGCGTATCTGACACGTATGTAGCATTTACACATGCACAGTTAGGGTGGGTTATGCTGGGGGGAAGACAATACGCCAAACACCTGAACTGAATATAAGTAAAGGTGAAGGATGAACATGCGAAATTTGGAACTCTGTTCATCCCAGCACAAATTGCTTTGTTTAAAATGTGCTATGCATCTCTCTCTCTCTCTCTCTCTCTCTCTCTCTCTCTCTCTCTCTCTCTCTCTCTCTCTCTCTCTCTCTCTCTCTCTCTCTCTNTCTCTCTCTCTCTCTCTCTCTCTCTCTCTCTCTCTCTCTCTCTCTCTCTCTCTCTCTCTCTGTGGTTGTGTGTGTGTGTGTCAGCGTGCTGCGTTTCTGTCGTCTTCCATTGCTCCTGATTGCGTTCCCTGCTTGTGCTCCTGGTTATAGCTTTCTGTCTCACAGTCTTGTTTTCGTTGCCATAAGAATGAAAAAGAAACTTTTAAGCATATCTTTATGATGGTGCCATCCATTGCTGGCACGTTTCTTGGCAGGTTCAATTCCTGTGAAACTCCTCGGCCAGCTAGCCTCTGTGTTCAGACCAGGAGGACTCACCAACCGAGACGGCAGCAAGAAGTACATGGATGGACTGGCTGATTGCCCAGTCCCTGTTCTGGCTTTCGCTGGGGATGAAGACACTATCTGCCCACCCGCTGCCGTTGAAGGTGCGCTTTACGACCGCTGGATCCTGTATTCCTGACTGCTCTGTATCTGTTCACTTCCACGGGTCTATCCAGACTACCGGTTTCGTTTGTTCCTGGCTGGTGGTTTGTTTCCCCGGCTCTTCCCGGACTTTCGGTGCTCTGCCCTGGGTGGTCCTCACTGGTGGTTCCTTTGCGTGCCTTGTTGTTCCTGGCAGGCGGTCCCTTCCCTGACTGGTCCTGCATGGTATTTCCTGACTTGCATTGGTCGTTGCTGACGATGATAATGGTCAGGTTTATAGAACCTGGGCACTTGAGGAGATCCTTTTCCAACCGATACACTGTTTTTCTCAAAGACCCAAGTTTGTATCTGGTTGACAACGTAAGACAGCATGAAGACCACAATGAGTGTATAATACGACTCAAGGCCGCCAGGGGAACCGCAAAAGAGCAGTAGCTGAAAATGCCACGGGTTTTTGCATTGTAAAATGCAAATATAGCTGCATGGTCCATCAGGGTCATAATTCTGATTGGCGTAGGAAGGATATAACCTTTGTAAGTGCGTCGTTCAAATCCCTACTTCTTAAGTTGTTTGACAAGCTCCTTGATAGGCGCGCGGCGGAGAATGAGTCTCGGATGTATATGTCTTCGGTATACTTTTCGCCGTTTTCGGTGCGCTTCGCGTCACTGGTTGGTGGTTCCTGACTCGTAGTTCCTCTCCCTGGTTGTTCCTGGGTTCCTAACCGATGGTTTATTTCCATATTTTTTGGTCCCGACTGGTGGTTCCGGTCTCTGGTGTTCCTCTCCATGGTTGGACTGGACCAGTGGTTGCTTGCCCTAGTTGTTCCTAACTGGTGGTTCCTGTCCTTGGTTCCTTGCTGGTGGTTTCTTTCCCTGGGTGGTTGGGACTAGTGGTTCCTTTCCCTGGGTGATCCTGTGCGCATACTGAATGGTGTGTGAAGGCATAGAGGCGTGTCTGGAATGAAATGAAATGTCAAGTTTGGAAGATGTTTTCTCAAAGGAAAATTTGAACGGCTAGCATTGTCTGGAAGTTGGAACAACAATATACCTCAGTACGGAATCGGGGCACGAAAAGCTCTTGGCTGAAGGCCATCTCAAAATGATTCCCAGCCAATCATAGTTGCGGCGCACGTGTGCGCTGCGCGGTGCGCACTGGTGCACTGTGCGCTGGTTTAGTTGCTCGCGCACTGTGTTCTGTACGCTGTGCGCTGTGCGCTGTGCCCCCACCCCCACCACCACCCCCTGCAACCAGCCACCCCCCACCCCTGCTTGCTGGAGAGATGGTGGAGGAGAGATGGGGGAGGAGAGATGGAGGAAGGGAGGTGGGGGAGGAGAGTGTGTGTGTCATCATTTCGAGTGTGTGTCTGTGTGTGTGTGTGTGTGTGTGTGTGTGTGTGTGTGTGTGTGTGTGTG